AAAATTTTGAAAAAAAAAAAAAAAAAGACCACAGCATCATCTGAAGCTTAAAAATATACCAGTGGTTGGGCAATGGAAGGTGCTTTGTTCGCAATCTTCATATTTTTCTGAGATCAGCATTAATGGATCAACAATAAATATTCAAAAACCTCTATTTAAAACATTCGGGTCTCACATAGATCTCAAAGACTGAAAAACACTGTCCAAATATCCTAGAGGGCAAGCCAGCGGTAACACAATGACGCAGGGTTAACTTCTGGATGCGTGAGAGTAGGTATACGCGCTAGTATAATTAAATAAAAATAAAAATTACTAAGCGCGATGACGTCAGGGCGTGCGCACGACATAACAGCACTTCCAGTCAAGTTATGAAGCTTGATACATTAAAATCTAACGCTTATTCCAGAAGAAACAATGTTGTGCTGATTCACATCATAGAATACCCGTCTAATCTACCCTGCCAAGGTACGGATAATGTAAACTGATTTCCATGCACAATTTTCGAACGTGGGCAGGGAGATAGCGCTGTACTCTAGAAGCAAGCGCAAGGACCCAGGTTTGATCCCCCATCCTGCATGCCTCGCCGCCCAGTCCTGAGTTGGCCGAGGAAACCCAGCGTGGTAGCACACGGCTTTAATCCCAGCGCTGGGGAGGAAGAGACAGGAGGAGCACTACATGTCGGAGCTGTGTAGTGAGACCCCGTATGTACCACATACACACACACATGCATTAACAAAGAGCAACAGCGTTACCTTAGGTCGTGCGGCAGAGCCCAGCACGCACCAAGCCCTGGCTTCCAGCCTCACACTGGATACCTTTAGCTGTGCAAGAGAAATGGAACATAGTAACAATCTCAGGTACATGTGGAAAGCATTTGGGAGTGCGTCCTGGGGCCTGAGCCCAGGGAGCTTGCCCTGAACTTCTCCCCCTTCAGCCCTCTTTTATTTCATTTGAACTGATTTGATTTGAGTATTTCTAGTCTGAGACAGGTTCTTGCTAAGTTGCCAACTTGCCCAGGGTGGCCTCAAACTCGCGAGCCTCCTGCGTCAGCCTCCCAAGAGCACTGGGTTTATAGCTGCGCACTACCACCCCCAGCTACATTTTAAACAAAGACTCCACAAAGTCTCCCAAGGATCACCGAAAGAAACCAGTGCTTGCTTTCTGAGAAATCAGGCGAGTTGCTTAGGAAGAGAAAGAAAGACACAGCGAACGAAGGACTGCACACGCATAGTCCAAGCGCCAGGAAAGTGAGTCCTAGAAGCCAGAAGCAGTACAAGGACACCAACATGAGCACTTGCAGCAAAGGTCGAGCCGGCTGCTGCTGCCCGGGGCCCAAATCCCCCACGTATGTGCCTTTTGCTAATTTCAGCGACGGCCACAAGGTCATCGGATCTCACACGGACCCAGCCTCCTGCAGGACGATGTGGTCACTGCCAACGCAGACGCACAGGCAGGATGCAAGGTGCTTCCCGCAGGCTGCTTCCCTTCCTGAATTCAGGCTTCTCTGACTACCGTTTTTGAAAAGGAACAACAAATACGCTTGCCGTCTAGGAAGACATCAGGAAACAAGGGCGAAACCCACAAGACCAGAGACAGAAGGCAGCCGTTGCTTTGAAGAAAACGTGGGCATCACACCTACCGACACTCCAGTCCATCTCCTCCACGGCGTCTCCGTAAGGGCCATGGAGACTTTTGTTGGCAAAATCCTTGGAAGCGAAGAGGGCCGTGTGCACATGGATATACGAGAGAAAAAGGAGGAACGGTTTCTCAGCATTCCTGCAGAAATGACAGAAAACAAGCAAAGAGTCAACATCAATGAAAAACTCACACTCACCGTTCTGACACGATATGATGTGTTCTGAAAGTTAACAAAGGACTACAGCTTGATGTAGGGTCTGTCTTTGCAGAAGGGCAAATCGGTACGAAGTGGCTTATTGTCACCCCCGATGAACCCCAGAACATTCACCTCGTGTCCCTGAGATGTCCTCCTACCATAATGCAACTCAGGGGAAAAGCTGCACTAGAGAACGGGCTGCCATTTTAAAATTTTGTTACAGGCTTTGCCCTTAGAGGCAACGAAGACAAACGGAAGCCTCCTGAAAGCACACTGTGTCTGCCCCTCTGCTGCTATGAAGCACACCCGAGTGAGCCCTCAGCCATCAGAGCCAAGATGCTGGACAAGTAACGGGAGAGTAGAATACTGCGCAAGTCACTGCAATTTCCTAGTTGAATCAAGAAAGATGAACGCTCTCACCAGCCGTATTTGTTGAGCATGGGCGTGCAGGAGCACTGTGGGCTTGTGTGTCTTAGCTTCATCTGCTCTACGTCGCCGAATTTAGTTACTACCTCCAGCAGTCTTTTGGTGGAATATTTGAGGTCTTTCGGTCAAAGGGTCATGCCTTTGCATCCTTTCTGTCCTAAGATAGCTTCATCCTCATTGAAGAGGATATTCATGTGCCAGGGAATTCTATGTCCCTACCCCATGTGGCTCTTGCCACAGTGGCTTTGAGCAACGTTATTTTGTGAAGGTCAGACGCTTCACATCCAAGAAGGCTGAACAGGATCACTGAGCTCCTCCTTGACCTTGAGTTGACTTTGGACCCTCAGCATCACAGGCTCAGGCTCATGTGGGTCTGAGGTTGGAGCAGCAGTGCCTTGCTAGCTCCAAGGGAATTATGCTCAAGCTGCTCCTGTAAAGGCTGTGGGGCACAGGATGTCCGTGCAAGACACAGCAAGCCAAGATAGGTCCTGCAGGTGTGTATGGGACACTGTGAGGACCACCCCTTCCCTATGGCCCATCCTTGTTACTCTGGTTGGTGGCATTCTGAGGATCCCGTAAGGCAAGCAGAAGGCCTTTCCCTGATTGCGTGCTCTCAGTGTGCTGTATCTGCAAGTTGTACCTCCTATTCCCAGGTGCAAGAAACCTCAGATCATAACATGGGTCTTTTGCAAATGAGAAGGGTACCAAGAGGTGGAGAGAGAGGAGAAAGGACCAGAAGGGAATGCAAAGGAATTAAGAGGTGTCCTGTCCCTGCACCACCTTCTGTGATGCATGCAATCACTATGTAATATAAGCACACAGCAATTAGAAGGAAAGAAATCTTGGGCTGGGGAGGCGGGTTGGCAGTCTAAGCATCTGCCTGGCAAGTGCAAGGACCTGGGTTCGATCCCCAACACCGAATGGTAGGCTGGCCACCAAAACCACATGTAGTGGGGCATGCCTATAATCCCAGTGCTGGGGAGGCTGAGACAGGAGGATCACTGAGTCCAAGCTATGTAGCGAGTCCCTGTACCCAATCAATTAATCAATGATTAAAAGAAGTCTAAAAGTATCGGAAACAGAATTGTACCTATATTGAACAGGTTGCATACGTTTTTTTCTTGCCATTATGACCTAAGCAATAGAGCGCATCTCCCAGGCATCTGCACGTACTTTTGTCAATCCAATTTTGGCCTGAACTAAGGAAAATATTATCAGAACTCAAATGTTTCAGATTTGACACTATTTCAGATTTTCAGATTGGGAATGTACAACCCATATTAACATTAAAACGGAGTGGAAAGCTGAATAATTCCTCTAAATTTTATCCCCTTCATTGGCTTGCAGTCACTTGTTTCTAGTTGAATTCTAAAAAAAAAAAAAAAAACAACCACTCATCTTAATCAGTTACATAAGCCAAGCAGTACGTTGCTGGCCACTCCCTGGGCTTATTTCAAAGAACACTGCCAGCACCTGGGTCATGGGAGTACCAGCTACCTAAGCTGTTTTATTTATTTGCTTTGTAAAAAGAAAAAAAAAATTTTAAAAAGTAGAAACTATACAGAATTACATTAAACAAACAAAATGATAGGCATCCAACAATGATTGTTATAGGGCATATTGTTGTCTTCAAATTCATTGTTCAAATTACCAGACACAAGTACGACAAACTGGTCAAAAATTTTTAAATTTTTCTGAAGAGAGAGAAACAAAATCAAGCATGCACTGCTCCTTTCAGTAGACTAGCAGAAATCAGCAGCATCATGAGCCAAGCTAGTCTCACAGAGATGAGGACGATACTTCCTGAGCCCGGAGGGCTGAAAACCCTGCTATCAGAGCATTCATAAGCCTCCACTTTTCATCCTTTGCCAGTCAAGATCTGTGAAGTTGGACTAAAGCTGCATAGACCACAACACTCCTTTTCCACAGGTCAGACCACCCTGTTTATTTGCCCCATAGGGTTTTTTTTTTTTTTTTTTTTCGGAATTTTTTTTTTTTTTTTTTTTTTTTGCGGAACTGGGGATTGAACTCAGGCCCTTGCTTGCGCTTGCCAGGGAAGCACTTATTCCACTGAGCCATCTCCCTGGCCCCTGCCCCATAGTTTTGATTGCTCATTTGTATTTGATTTTTTCTTTCTTTTTTTTTTTTTGTATTTTAGGGAAGGGTCTCCAGGATGTTCAGGGTCTCACTACTAGATCAGCCTCCTAGTGATTGTCCTGTTTACAGCCTCCCAGGCGTGCACCTCTATGCCCAGTCTCAATCGCCCTCTCAGGGCCTTGTGGGCAGGGCCAGCATGGCAGGCCCCAGAATTGAACCCCGGCCCCTGCGCCTGCTTGCAGGAGCTTTAATCTGCTGAGCTATTTGGCTTGCCCTGTTTGTTTGTATTTGAGACAGGTTTTCACTGTGTAGTATAGACTGGCCTTGAACTCACTTATGTTGCCCAGGCTGGCCTTGAACTCAACCTTAAATGCTGGAAGTCTTACCCTGAGGGAGGTGAATTTGAACTTGGTTTTCAAGTCTGCCTCATGTAGAAACTTTTCTCTGTTACAGAATTCATCATTCCAGTGCTTTGCTTATGGCAAAATGGGCAAAACAGCCTTGGTTTGAGAACACAGCTACACAACTATTGTCTCACTAGCGTAAAAACCTACAGTAAATAAAATCTGAAAGGTTCAATAGATACTGTGAGAACGAAATACTCTTTTGAAAGGGAAGGACAAATTTGATAAGGGAAAAGAGAAAAGAAAGAAGGATAAAAGATATGTATATATACACAGGATAGCTTGAATAATTGTACTGTTGCCTTCTGCTAGAGCAGTTAATACTCAATTCATTTTCTTCTTAATTTTTTGATCAATTCTGCATGCTTATATCGGGTAATCTGGGCAATTCATTTAAAGACAATAGTATGCAATATTACAATCATTGTTGAATTCCTATCATTTTGTTTAGTGAAATTCTGTATCATTTCTAATTTTTTTTCACTATTTCTTATTCTCTCAAGAAAAAAAAAAAAGTAACACGGATTTCTTACTAATGGACGTGCACTAAGGATGACCGATTTCCTCAGTTACCATACAGAGGACTACAGACCAGGCGTGGTGGCGCACGCCTGTGATCCCAGCGCTGGGGAGGCTGAAAACAGGACGGTCACCACGAGTCTGAGCTGAGTAGTGAGACCCTGCACCAAGTACATAAATAAAGCATACAGAGGATACCATATGGAGCTACTTGCCCAGCTCTCTAATAATAGAAGAGTTTTCTCTCCTTTATCGCTGAAGGAGTTAAGGCGTAGGAGGAGTGGACAGTTACATTTTGTAAGGAATCATTTTCCTCCACTTATAAATGCACACCTGTAATCCCAGCTCCAAGCCACAGCTGACGAAATGGATCTCATTTGTGAGAATTACAAACCAATGAAACAGCTTCGGCTTATGCCCCCCGTTATGGTTTGTGTACAGGTGTGCCCCCAAAGCCTCATGCAGTCATAGAGAGGCTTCTGGAGTGTGTGATTGATTATTGAGGGTGTGGATGCTGCACCTGCCCTGGAGCACATAATTTGCATTTCAGTGTAAGGAGAAAAGAGAAGCTAGCGGCTTGAGCTGCTGCTACCCCTCCCTTGAGCTCTTGCTCTTTGCCTCCACCATGAAAAGTTGCTCTCTGCCATGTGCCGCTCTGCCTTGGACCCAGCTGAGTATGGACTGAAACCTCTGGTCACCGTGAGCTAAATAAACCTTTCCTTCCTTCAATTTGGGTGTCGGATATTTGTCCCAGCAGTGAGAGAAGAGCAACTAAGACACCCCCTATCACTCATATAATACCTCCAACTAGCACCTCCGGAAGTCCTGAGTATAAATCAAACTAGTGGCACCTTGCAGGGAAAGTCTGTCAATTTTATAAACAAGAGCCTCAATCATTTTCCTCACTCCCTCTGACATGGACATCTTAAAAAATGTTTCCTAAATGATAATACACATAAATATGATACTTGTTTCATGTGGGCAATTGTGAATGTAAAGTTTTTGTGTTGCTCTTGCTAACTATGGTGGCTTATATCTAGATGTCCCCCCAAAGCTTCATAGGCTTGTGGGTAGGCTTTGGGGAGGTGACTGGATCACACAGGTGTGTGACACTAGATGACTCCACTGATTGGTTATAGATGAGTATGATTTTAGGAGACGACTCCTGTGAATGTGTCCTGAAAGACTACTAGATTTGCTTCCTTCTCCCTTAATTGCTGGTGCTTCCTGCCTGCTACACCATGAACTCTTTCTGCTCTCCCATGATGCCCTGCTTCAGAGCCTCTGTGTGGACTGAAACTTCTACAAGATAAACCTTTCCTCCTTTACTGTGTGGGTGTTGGGTGTTTGGTCTCAGCAGTTCATAAACAAAGACCCTAATACTGTCTTTGCTTTCACTGTGCTTTTTTGGTAAGCTATCGACCAACTCTAGATCTATTATTTCTCCATTATCTCTCTCTCTCTCTCTCTCTCTCTCTCTCTCTCTCTCTCTCTCT